TATTTGATTTATAACTGAACAGGGAGTATAAATCGTCCAGTTACAATATAGATTGAGTATAAACATGATAAGATGTTTTGCAGTAGGTGAGTAAATATGAGTAAACATGATTAAATGAACATTAAGGCCATTTGGCCACATGTTTAATTCAAATAAACATTAAGGCCACCTGTCACCTGAAAATAGGACTCTGAAAGAGTAGTTGCTGGCTACTATCGTGGGTTAGTCTGTGATGCTTGTCAACATAAATCATTCTGAAAGTATTCAGTAGTCAACATAAATCCAACTTTGTATTTTGAATGATCAGTCTAACTTTTTCATTGTAACATGCCACATATCTTCTATGAGCAAAGAGGGCAGTGGAAGGCAGCAACCCAATCCCAGGAGTTCCTTCGAACCCCTTTTCTAGGTCATTGCCCTCAACTCAAATTGCAGCGACCTCAGATGACACCGGTCTATTATAATCTTCTTTGGTCAAGCCTCTGATCGGTCTTTAGGTCTATCCTATAATCATTGAGGTTGTCCTTGTGTGCACCCAAACTCCTAAATTGCCGGTAGTATGGGTTTTCTTTGAGTATGTCCACTAACTTCTTAACGACATCCTGGTCTAATTGCTTGGTGGCAGCCTTACGATGAGTTAGGATTGGGTCATCATCGTAGAAGTACAACTGCAGATGTTCTGGGCGGGACCTAGGCCCGAACGAATGCACATTGTGGTAGATGGTGTCGTGTGCCCGGAATGTGTACACCCCAGACTTCATGTTTGTGTAGTTTTCATCAAGGCTGACACCAAGGGTTGTGAAGGCGAAATGCCCGTTGAAGAACCGTATGTTCTCTCGAAAATGTCTAGAATCTGCATCCATGCTGGACCATAGCTTCATCAGCTCTGGGATTGGTTCCAGTTTCTTGAGCTCGATTTGGCCATTGCGACAGCAGAACCCGTCAGTCTCAGACTCAAACTTTCTGGCCTTGCAGTGGTCGCAGTTTGCGGCGTGCTTCAGGATGTGAGTGCTGTCTGGGATGTTTGTGTAGACAAAGTCAAATGGATCAATCTCGATAGGTTTAGCGCTAGACATTCTCGCTTCCTCGTCATCCTCCATGCTGTCATAATCAGATCCTACGGGCATTTGTTGAAACATGATGTTCAAAACAATAATTACTAATAATTATAATTACAATAAAGCTCCACGACGTCATAGTTCAGAGTTGACCATACCTTGGTCGCGAAACATGTAATACTCCTCATCCATCAAGTCGGGTGGTGTCGGCTCATCGCCCGTGATGCAGCTTAGGAATCCATCGATGTCGTCTACATTGTCATCGTGGCGAATGTGACAATAGACAACATCATGTCAGAAGAGGGTTGTTGAGAATGAGCATAAGAACATGACAATAGCATTTTCATACCATCGGCATTGACAGTGTAATTCGGCATGATCGTCGGAGGGTCGCCATCCGATGAATCATCTTCGGTGGCCCGAGAGTCGGGTGACGCGCGGCAGGTGGATGCGGGACATTCAGAGGTTGACTTTGCTAGGTCTGGCGTGGGATGGCGAGGGATTCATTGCACGGGGTGTTTTTCCTTCTAGCATAATTGGCCTTCCTCTGAGCACTTGACTCCCCCTTCTCAATCACCCACATGCTTTTGCGGCGTTGCATGTGCTTCTCTCGTAGCTTTGCATTCAGTTTTTCTCTGACATCAACCGTTAGTTAATCCTTTTTCTTCTGATAACATGCTCGGCTACGTGAGTTTCTCTGCTCCCTTTGCTCATTTCTTAAATTACGATTCCGTTCATCATCATGTTGCCACCTAGCTAGGTCATTGTCATGGGTGACACCAGACGCGTCTAATGTTGACGGGGGAAATGTTGCATCATCATGCAAGAATTATGTATAGCTGGAGCTATTAGGGTTGGCTGGTTAAACAACGTTTTGAAAACATAGTTAGAACAATCTTGATTTTAATATGTATGGAGGTAGTGACTAAAGAATATTATAACTTTCTTTTGCTACATAAATACAAACCATGTGCATTAGGATGAAGCATTAAACTCTATGCTTCGAGCATGATGGTCGCTAAAAGAATAATTTGCTATGAGAAAAAAATCTATGTACGTCAAGGTGAAACTAAAGGTAATATGTTGAATTGATGTCGAAAGTGGACGAAGATTTTCATCTTCTTTAAGCCGATCCTTTTTTCTCCGATAAGCAGCTCTCCTCAGGGCGTTTCTATGATCTCTCTTGTGTTGTTCGTCGTTTTGCTTTGTTTCTTGGGTGTCATTCAAGTCAACATCTGGTGTCATTCAGGACATTCAAAAAATGTAGAGAATAAAACATAATCTGACATCAATTGATGATGGAGTACGCACAATTTGATTACCTTGTAGATCATGGTCATTAATGAGACCAGATGTGACCGTAGTTGTAGCAGGAAATGTTGAATCATTATGCGAGAATGATGTATAGTTGGAGCTAGTTGGGTTGTCTGGTTAAACAGAGTTTACAAAACATGTTGAAAACTTAATGGTTAAGACATGAATTGAAGGTACTGACTATAATGGTTAAAACATTTAAAGCTTACCTGATAAATTAAGGGCCCGCAGATTTTCGTCTTGCAGATTCCGATCTTTTTTCCGCCGATAAGCAGCTCTCCTTAGGGCGTTTCTATGGTCTCTTTTGCGATCTTCTTATGTTCTTTGCGTATTTTCTTTGGTGTCATTCAAGTCATTTACTAGTGTCTTTCATGTCATTCTCTCAAAACCAAAGGAAAAAACATAACTTGACATCAAACGATCATGGAAAAGGTACAATCAGATTACCTTGTATGTCTTTCGCACGAATGACACCAGATGTGACCGTAGCTGTATGAGGATATGTTGCATCATTATGCGAGATTGATGTATAGCCCGAGCTAGCTGGGTTATCTGATTCAACATGCGTGGTCAGTAATCTTACTTGATATACTAAGGGGACGCAGATCAATTTTCCTCTGATGATCATCTACTGTGGGTTTGTTTATCTGCCCCAGCTTCTGTCCTGACCCGATATCGCTACATTGTCCCACCAGTTTACCCATGGTTTGATTGGGGTCATTTGAGACAGCTCCTAGAATAACCCGGCATAAATGACAAAAACAAAGAGATGTTAAACAGAACCTGAAATTGTACGCTTACCGAAGTGGCAAATATAATGAAGGACATTGCAAAAGTACCAAAAATGTACCTGGGATCACATGTGAAAGCTACCGAATACGTCGGTTTGGATGGTGGATAAGCATGCCTGCGAATACCTTCAGTATCATCTTGTAGCTTCGTCGTACCATCCGTCTTATTATGATAAGACGACCACATCTCATCGTTTAAAGGTTCACAACCTACAATTACCAATCAACAAAAATGCGGTATGTTGTACATACAGGTGTACCCCCATAACTACAAATCATGTCATATGAAATGCGGATGAGTCAGTACCATATGAATCTTGTGCTACATATGTGCCATAATGCAGTGTTAGATTACTCGGAGCCAACAACGAAGCATCATGATGGTCTCCAACTCGTAGCAATCTTGATCCATCTGTAGAGTTGTAATCAGGATGAATACAAGACCAATGATACATAGGCGACAAACTATGCAGGCAACATTCAACAATCTTCACACAGTCTTATACCTGGAACCGTCGTGTAACTATCGTCAACATTTTCAGCTACGGGTATGATGCTTGCATTGTATTCTTCAACATTTCTCCTGCTCGTAAGGCCTGCAATACATTATGCATAAAGCTTGTCACTTGCAGAAATGCAATCAACGCATGTATAGGAATTTCTGATAGAGTGCATCATACCCGTTGTTACGTCCTCTTCTGGTTGATGTTCACCTGCCTTGCTTTTTGAATTCCCCATACGCACCTACGAAATGGCAGTTCCCTGACATGAATAAGAGTATATTGTTTTGTAGCTCCCTATCATGCTTCTGCTTTGGATAGCTAAAGAACTGTTAGTATCTGTTCAGGAGGAGCCACACAGAGCAAAGAAAGATCCTCTTCTTGGGAGTTCATCAAAACACTATCAGCTGGTATGGCATTGAATAAACGATTATGCGTAGTGTTATAGTTACTATCAGACAATTGACTACTTTTATATCTTCTTTAAGGCAATGAATCAAATACAAAAATTCTACTAACGCACATTCCCCTGTACCGACCTGACAATACTCCGTGCGGCCCACATCATTTTTCACCTGCTATAAATCATGTATGTTCTCTCAAAAGTATTTTTCCCTGCTAACTAAAAGTAAAAAGGAATTTATATACCTTCCTATGATTTTTTGTTCATATATAGTGAAGATATTTCTGTTTCATATGTAGCATCAGTGCCCCAGTCTATCCACTAATTTATTCTGCAAGTTGCAACACGTTTGTGCTTGGATTTCTGCAAGCAATTCTGATTGGTTCTATTCTCTTCCATTTCCAGAGGATATATAGTGCTGCTATGGACCAAGGAATCAAGTATGTCCTTCCTCAAGTATTGATGTTTCCTGCTTTTAACTAACATAGCATGTAAACATTGTGATAATTTGACTGGTAAACTTAGGATCATTGAACACTCTGTCTGGTATATGTCACTGAACCCTCTCAAGTATTAGTTTGTTTTGGGAACTCCTTGTCAATATTTTTCATGGTAAAAGAGTCGCTATGTGATTAGATGTGCACCCAAAGTTCTTTCAAATTTTCCTGGTTAAGTGTTTCCCTATGTGTTATCTTGAAAACTACTTTTGGTTAAACCAGTCCAAATCGCTGCCTAACCGAAGTTTCTCCATATGTTAACATAGGGCAAAGGCATATACAATTAACATTAGTTCCTTTATGCAGGCATTAGAATTATCTAAGCAAACAGACTTCCGATATTTTGCTAGGGTTGCTGAAGCCGGTAAGCTTCTTTTGCAATTTCTGGAGATTGTTGAGTCACATCTGAAAATATCTTGACTGGTCTGCAGATTCTTATGCTATCAGGGCATGACCACAACCAGTGCAGAGTTGTCCAATCCACTCCTTTTGGGCCAGTAATGGAGGTAACAAAAAATTAAAGTTATCTTGTTGCTGCATGTACCACGCTTTGCATCTAATGGCGTTGTTAATGCCACAACAGCAGACCCTTGGGACAATAAGCTGGCAGCAAGGAAACCTGTATCCATCTTTTATGCTGGTACTATATACATACAACTTTTCCTCCAGTGCAGGCAAACTCGAATGATGGCTAGTAAATGTTACATGTTTGATAACTCTACATTTTTTCTTACATAAGTATGCATTTGGACTGATAATCATGCCTGATTTGTAGTGCCGCTTGATGAAACATCTGCTTTTAACTCCGGAACTCATGCTTCAGCATATGTTCCATTGGGGGATAATCCGTGATGCATCACTTAACATGTTTATTAGTATGTCATGTCACTCCTGCTTGACATGCCAATTCACACAAAATAAAAAATCCCAGTGACCTGTGAACCTGCCTGTTAACTTAAAATTTGATTAGTTGTGGTGCCTTTACGGACCTTGACTGGATACATAATAAGTTTGATCTTTTTTTTTCTTTGACCACAAGGAGGCAAGCCCAAGATCACATGAAGGTGTCATTTTCATTGCCACTTAACAATACTTGTGCACTTCTTTATTTGCTCGTTTGTTTCTGTCATTTGTCATTGGACTATAATAGTCTTAAATATTGCAGTTTTTGAGCAGATTTGATAAAAAACTATCCTACATCAATATTTGCAGATCAGGAGAACAAACTGCAAAAAATGTGTTATCTGGGCAAAAAGTGATGACATAGGAAGAGATCTGATCAAGTTGTCTAAAGATGTTATGACATAGGAAGAGATCTGATCAAGTCAATAACCCACTCCCACTCTGTCATCCACTCTTTCATTATTTTCAGTTCATGCGATGGCTGTATGAAATGTGATGGCTGTAAAATTCAAATAATACCTGTATTACGTGAGTGTCTATGGGGCCGGATCCTGGACGCCTTCGGCGGCGGCTGGTCAAAGGAATAATAGGATCCTGGACGTGTTCGGATCCTGAAAGGGATCGGCGCCGGATCCTGGAAGTGTTCGGCGGCGGGTCCTCAACTGGACCAGCGCCGGATCAGTGGAGGCCGGCGGCGAAGGGATGGAGCGGTGGTGGTGAAGGGACGAAGGGCGGCGGCGGGCGAACGAGGGCAGAGAGTCGTGCGTGCGACTGTTTCTCGCTCGAGGGCAGGAGACCTCGCTCGTACCTGCGGGCGATTGGTTTAGGATTTTTTTTTGCTGGTTTATTTTCGCCGGTTTGTTTTTGCTGGTTTATTTTCATAGATTTTTTTCGTTCATCTCTACTCCTAATGACTGAGTTGGTAGGATTGCGTCCACGGTTTATTTTCGTCAGGTTTATTTTCGTCTGGTTTATTTTTGTTTGGTTTAATTTGGTCTCTCCTTCCATCATCATATCCTCACGTTGATTTTTTTCACCCTCCCAATAAAAACTTTCTTAACATTTACAAACTTTCCCAATAAAAACTTTCTTAACATTTACAAACTTTCCTAACGAGACACCGTCACAAACAGGCAGGTACAGAAATCACATTACAAACATTAAAACCCTATTTTCATGAAAATCAATTCAAAATCCTAACTTTCCTAACGCATCGATTCTTACCTTTCCTATGTACCTCATTGGTGCCCCATCGATGCCCCCTCCCACCAAATGTAAGTTCTTTCATCCCCTCGCACGATCCCCTCGAACCACCGTCAAAGTAAGGAAACACCCAGCGCCTTTGTTCTAAATCATGCCATTTTAGTCAACGCCAAGCTGCTCATGGCCGGGGACGCCGTCGTCTTCATGCGCCGCGCCGACGGGGAGCTGCTCGCCGGGATCCGCCGCGCGCCCAGGTACCCCGCCGTCTCCCAGCAGGCGTCCGAGGGCGCCGAGCGCTGGCCACGCAATGCGCGCGTGGGTCCCGCCCGAGGAGGTGGACGAGGCCGTGCGGCTCGCGGCAGAGGGCACGCTCTTCACCGTCACCTACTACCCGCGCCAGGGCGCCGGGGAGTTCGTCGTGCCCAAGCAGGAGGTGGAGGATGCGCTGATCGGCGCCTGGGCACCCGGCGTGCAGGTGCGCATGAAGTTCCTCGACGCCGAGGAGCGCCGCTCCGAGTGGAACAACGGCGCCGTCAAGGCCGTCGAGTCGTCGACCCCTCCATCTGGCGCATGCTCGAGGTACATCTTGCGTCCATACATCCATCTCTCCAGTCAATCCATCCGATCATTGCGATAATTGTCTGGTTGATCGATGGAGTCCACATCTGTTTGGTTCAGGCATGCTTGCTTCAATTTGTTTGCTCTGCCATTCAGTATGGAGTAGCCCTAGATGTTCACCATGCTAGCGACTCGCCCGTCAAACCGCAGAGATCCCTCGCATGGAGTAGCCCTAGATGTTCTAGGCCACCACCGCCAATCCGGCGAGCCTACGCTGCGACCATTCATGGCGCCTGGGGGCAATGAACTGGCATTGCGGTCATGGAGGGGAGGCTCAGGAGCAGGGCGACGCTGGCTGGTAGAGGAATTCGAAGGAGCCAGGCCGCCCTGGCGATCACCTTGACTGCTGCGTCGTGCACCAACTAACGGCAGTGTCCGCGGTGGTGAAGAAGCATACACGGCGAGGCTAATATAAGGTATACCTTGGAGGACGCAACCCCCTGTCGTCAACACGTCATGGCCCGAATCGCCTGGAGGCCTCAACCCCTGCCTGTGCTCCAGATTCACAGTGTGTCCTGACGAACGAGGCGGCAATCTCTGAATTGAATAATTGATCGTTCATCCCGTTCTACCGCTGATTCGCTCGGCGCCACCTCTGTGGTACTCTTGACTGCTTTCACATATCCCCATAAGGTATAGTACGTGGTATCCCACCCCATGTCATGTAATTGCATTCTGAAGCAATTAGTACATAGGAGTCAACCCATAGGACAAGGAGGACCCGGTTATAGATTTTTTTAAGGGAGGGTGTGCCGTGTACGGGAGCATATCTGTTAGTTTGTATCCTATGTTTAACAATTTCGGAAATTTTTGTAGTATAAAAATCTCAATAGTGAGGATACATTGCTGAACGTGATGTGATGTATATGATTTAGTTTATCATTAGTTGTTCTCCTTGCCACTACCCACTAAATTTCAGATCTGCCTTCAACTTCTAATGGTAAATATCCAATTAATTTTAGTCGGCTCAAAAGGCTTCAAGCTTCTTTGTCCATTATTTCCTGTTCAACTTTAAGAAACCTTTAGTTTGTTTTGTTTCACTTACTTTACTATTCCTTCTTGATAAACTCACCAGGTACTGTATATATCTCTCCCTGGTCACAGTGGGATGGCTAATAATTTCATGCACAACACCACAATAGCAGATATTCGGAGATTTGGAATTGTTTTGCTGTTTTCTTTCTATGAAAGATAAGCATGAATGCAGCGATGGCAAACCTAAACATCGTTGCCAATTTTCTCTTTCACAGAATAGGATGAATGTCACGGCAGCAGCTGCAAACTCCAAGAACGTTATTGTCATGGGGGGCACCAGTTTCAATTGTGTCTTCTTGCAAGCTCCTTGTCAATGAGAGGCACAAGGTCAGTCCGTACTCTGTAGATACATTTGTGATGCAGTGATTCTTCTCTTATGCTAACTAATACATTGATTATGTCCTATGATTCTCTAGGAGCACTAAGAAATTATATGTTTTCTTAAGGGTCACATCACACGAGGAAACTCTCACCCACAGCTATGAAATTTCCAATTGAATCAAATGCAAATTATACATAGTGCTCTTCCAAGCCACAGTTCAACCCCCACTTCTTGCCGCTCGCCTTCAGCCCCAGCAAGACGATTAAATATTTTACCTCAATCCATATATCAGATCTCGTGCTCAAGAAGACGATGGTGAAGAGCATGATAATGATCCAAATGTATGTTAACAATTGGTCCAGTTTAGAAATCTAAACAGGAAAGCTGAGGGGCCATTTAGTTTATACCCAGGCCCACCTCGCCAGAGATGGTGCGTGCAGATATTTTGGCGAACGATTCCCCTGCCCCTGTTTCGCCTGTCCGTGGACGCAGAATGAAAGCAGCGACCAGTTTTTTTTGGCATGACTCCTATAATTGGGTTTCAATCCAAACAGTACCCAGTCAATGCCGAACTTCTTACTCAATATGACTCCTCAGGTTTCATTTGTTGGGGAGGCAGACAGAAACAACGATAACTAATATTTTTTCTTTTCACTCACAATAATATTGTCACCAGATACAATTGCTATCAGGTTAGTGTTTTGTGAGCTTTCATCATGTCCCTTTATGGAACTTTTAAATGTTGATTATCATTTATCACTGCTGCTACTTTATGCAGAGTATTGATGTTTGTACTGAAGGAAGTCCAAAAGTCTTATCGATGCAGGCAAGACACTTGATATGACAAATTTCAAGTGGAAACGAACAAATATTATGCTTGTTCATCGCTTGATGTCTACCCTGACTATTCTTTCATTTGAAACTCGCTAATAACAAGTTCTTACTCTGCTGTTAAAACTGATGTTGCTAATTCGGTTCATAAAATTATTGTCGTTATAATTTGGCGATGTAATACTTTGCCATAAGCCAATATCAAATTATGAAGCATTGCTATAACTTCCAACGTGGTGCTAGAGCATTATATATGAATGTACTTAGTTAAAGGCCATCCAAAGATACACATTTGCAAGGAAACTGCACAATGTCAATACGAATATGAAAGATAATTGGATAAATAACTTTGAAATCTGATCTTTTTCTGATGATAACACAACTTACGCTGATTTCCATAATGAACAGAGAATAGAAAAAGTGTTGTTGCGGCCATGACTTGAATAACAAACCAAATTCACAAGGTCGGTACTGGACTATTGGTAATATATATTCTTTTGGCAGGGATTTAAAAATACTTCACATCTCTTTTTAGTGGATTTTGTGATAGGAGTGAGAGTTGAGAGTGAGCGGGTTGGAGGCTATGGTTGATTTGTTCAGTTACGAATGTGAGCGGAATATTTTCCCTACTTAAGAAAAAGTGGCAAATTGGATAAGGCAGTCATATTTTTTTTGATCAGGTCATACAATATATTTTTTAGGATAGAAGGGTAAATGCATTAGTTTGTTGTTTTAATAGTTAATAACAGACGCGGTGGCGTATTAGTTGCATCCCCAACAACAGCCATCATATTTTTGTTTTGTGGTAATGCATGACATTCAACTGTATGTTACAACATGGCAATGCCTCATGAGACATCGAATTTGCCTTCTTTGCTTGGGGTCGTCATGGGCGGCGCACGCCTCCTCCGCCTTGATGGTCGTGGCGGATCGGCACGAACACGGGAGGAGGGGATCATGGCGGAGAGCAAGCGGTTGGTGGGGGCACTCCTCCTTGGTGGTCCGTGGGGAAGTATGGTATGAAGGGAAGAGGGCGCCAGGACGAAAGTGAGGTGAGTCTCATCCGGTTATAAAGTAGAGGGCTCCAGCGAGAAATATTAGGCTATGGTGGGAAACTGAGCTGGAAGGAGAGAGGGTCCGACATGAGGGAAGGGTGCCTCATGGTGTGGGGTTTTGTGTTGTGTTGGGACCGCGTGTTGGAAATAACATGGCGGATAGTTCGGACAACGACATTGCTCACCATATATGAGATGGATTTGGGGCAGCCTGTACTAAACCCGGGCAAACGTCGGGCCGGGCCGGGTTTCGGGCCGGGCTTGTAAAAGCCCGACCTTCATTTCTCAAGCCCGAGCCCAACCCGAAGCCTAAAATACTCCCTGTTTTCAAGCCCGAGCCC